TCAAAACCCCTCAACCCGCGGGGTCGCCGGCGCGGCCTCGGGATCCAGCGCGGGCTCATCCACAACGCCCAGGCCACGCAGGACGGGACGGGCTGCCTGCGGCTTCGGAAGCGGGTTTTGCACGACTCCGCGCGCGGGGCCCTGGCGGCCCTGCCGATCCTCCGCCCGGCGGTCGCGTCGTGGGCCTATTTAATCCCTTCCCTCAAGGCGAGCGCGGAGGGGGCGATCCCGGGGCCGGTGTGGGCGAAACTCCGCCTTTTTGCCCCGGGCGAGGCGGGGGAAATTAGCCCCGCGGGCCTCTCCCTGGCGGAGCGCCAGGCCCTCCACGCGGGCCAGCGGTGGTTTCGCTACGAACTCCACCAACGCCTCCCGCTGCTCGAGGACGCGGTGATGGGGGCGGCGCTCGGGGAGTTGGTGGCGTGGCCGTGGGTCTTCCGGCGGGCCTGGGTCGTCCTCCCGGGCCCGCTGGAGGGGCCCCGATATCCCGAACAAACCCCCCTTCGGGAAAGCCGCCCGTTGGCCCTTTTGCCGCCCGCCGCGGCGGATCGGGCGAGCCGGATGGAGGCCTGGGATCGCCCGGGGGGGCGTTCGACGGCCGACCACAGGCCGGGCGCGCTGCAGGTCTACAACATCGCGCAGCGCGTCCAGGGCCTGACGCTTCACGTCGCGCGGCGCGTCGAGGCGGCGCTGGCCTCCCCCGAGGACGGGGGGGGGGTGAAAGCGAAAAGCCCCCGGGCCCTCCTCCGGGACGCCGCGCTGGAGGATCGCTGGCGGCGTGATCTCGCCTGGCATGCGGAAATGAGGCGTCTGTGGGAGTAGCGCGGGGCGGGATAGGGGGCGAATCCGAAGGAAAACACCCTATGGAGATCTCTAGTTATCCATCTAGAAACACTCACACGGTAGAGTAATACCATGAGCTGTATTTTTTTTTTGTGTGTGGGGGGGGGGGGAGAGTTGGTGATTTTCCTCAGTGGTTTGAACATTTTTTGAAAGGAAATGAATGCGAATTAGTAGGTTTTCCCCCGTTGAGATGCCCCCTTCGGCGGTGCGTGATTGCGATGGAGGCGCCGGAAGGAATCGGCCTCCACACGTCCCACGATGCGGGTCGGGACCTCCTGATAGTGATACCCACACTCGATAGGCGTCCTTTCCGCTGCTTCTGAGGTTTACTACCCCTTTTTTTTCCCCTCTTTTTTTCTTTTTCTTTTTCCTTTTATAAAGTGGATCGAACGCCGGCGTTGGAGGGCGATTTATGGATTATTGCAGCGGTCGACCTCCGAAGGCCCCCGGGGCGATGGCGGGCGAGTTCCTTCGGCTGATCCGCCACTCGCGGTCGATGCAGGAGCGCGTCCTTCGCCACCTCCGGGGGTCGGATCGAACGGGAGGGGAGGCCGCCCCCTTTAACGACCCCGCGGCGGATCTCTTTTTGCCGATTGACGTCTTCGACGTGCTGCGGGTCTCGCCTGGGCTGGGGGAGTTACTGCTGCGGCAGCCCCTCGGGGGCTTCCGCCAGGGCCTCGAGGCCGCCCTGGCCGCCTGGGCGGG